GATAAAATAAAAGGGTTGGATTGATGTTGATTGGAGAGTGTGGAATCCGGATTAATGGCCGATAATAGTAAAACAGTGGGATAGCCGAGTTGATCGAGGCTGTGCTTTAGATTTTATATAAATTAGAACGTTGATCTAGCGAGTCACCCACACATGGGGTATGAGATGTAGCACGTGACTCATGTCGCGTTCTCGTGACGCCCTGTTCTCGTGACATCTTAACTTGTATTGGTCATTCAGGAAAGGAGAAAAAAATAAACTGACCACGCCCTGGGATCCATAGGAGTAATGTCTGCATTCTGTAGGTCTGTGTACGGTATATGTGGGCGTACGTCAATCACCAATACTTGTTCCGAGTTATAGGTACATACATATTTATATCATTATACATTGAGGAGGTCAACTATGTTCTACACACTTACGAATTACAAAGAAAAAAACAATCCTGTATTCAGTCAGCAGTATACAGTAAAACCTGCCATGATGAACACCTTAATTCCGTTAATACCCTCCTATAACCGTCAGATTGTCTTTGTCCCGATTTACATGACTATATCACACTAGTAGTGTCCATTTCAGATTATCCTTTCAAACAAAATCCATTTCTGATTCTAAATCTTGAATGATATCTACAGCAGACGAATCTTGTCAATGTTAATATGGCATGATGAATGTTGATATTATAACAATGATTATGATGATGATAAGGATTAATGATGATAATTGTAATCATGATAATTATGTTTATGATTATGATTATTGATTATGATGTTTGATTATGAGGAGGATGAGGATGATGTCGATGATAATGATAGATGCTGGTATTATGACTACAGATGGTTACGATGATGACGAGGAATGATGATATCCTGATGATAAATATGATGAATGATTATGAGGATGACGAGGCTGATGATAATATCGGATGATGATTAATAATGACGTTAATTATGATTGATCAGCAATGAGGATGAAATGTTGATTATTATAAACTACTGAATGTTGGATGATGATGATGATGATGATGATGATGATGATGATGATGATGATGATGATGATGAAGGCAAAGAAGAAAAATAAGAAAATGTGCGTGTGAATGTGACTATGGTGATGCGTAATAGTGTGAGTGGGTGTATTTGAATACTGTATATGTGTATATGTCCTAAACTATTGAAAATAAAGCAATTAAAAAAAATGTAGAGAGTATATTACTTTGAACAATATTTTAATTCAACATTCAACAACTTAGATCTTACATATGATACTATGGGATGGGAAAACAAGCTCAGAGCTGATAGTAATTCCTTTCTCCAGTTCATGTTAAAGTAAACAAATCTTCAGAGCTGGAAACACCTTACTTGTGTGGAATAATAATAAAGTTTAACAATTAATATATATACCTGTGGTGAGTCATGATGCCTTAAATTGTTTATCGGTAGATACAAATTACTTACTATTGTTTAATATAAGTATGTGATATCACACTATAATTTACATATTTCAAAACAATAGATGCTAAATTATTAGCCAATACGTTTGCTTCCTTTGATATAATTTTGGACTTTCAAAAAATATTTCACCGTTTTTCTGCTCTTAGAATTATTCCTTAGTTTCACCGAAACATAAGTAAAACCTAGGGATAACCACACGAGTCATCATACAAATAAGCAGGAGATATTAAACAGCGTCTTCATTATTATCACTGGTGGGATTAATATTGTGTGTAATTTGTATAATTTTAAAATGAAAATAAGATTTAAACTTAAAGCAATCCCTGCCTCCCTCTCTTCAATATCCATGTCCTTTTACAACCCCCTCCCGATCCTCCTTCACAATCTCTGATAGGAAAGTTTTCTGAGTTACTACAGAACAAAATCCCTGTTTCATCTCAGCAATCAAAAACCAACCTAGGCGGAAGGCATATCCCCATCGAAGTTTCCATCCCTTTGGTGAGACCCCGCTCCACACTCTCCTACACTCCGTGGAGATCACCTCTCGCAAGTCTTTGGTGAGACCCCTCTCCACATCCCCTACACTCCATGGAGATCACTTCTCGGAAGTCTTTGGTGAGACCCCTCTCCACATCCCCTACACTCCGTGGAGATCACTTCTCGGAAGTCTTTGGTGAGACCCCACTCCACCCCCACCTCCCTACACCCCGTGATGATAAATTCTCGGAAGTCTTTGGTGAGACCCCTCTCCACAACCCCCTATGCACTCCGTGGAAATCCCTTCTCGGAAGGTTTTATCCCGCTCCTTGACACTGAAGACTCCTATCATTTCGTAGATTACAGACAAAGAAGAAAACTCCCAGGTTATCTTTCTAACACAATTATAGTTTAAAATGATCAACGCATGGTTAAAATAAAGATAGTGGCTTATAGGGCCATTCCTGTCACTATCACCTGTACAGGGACCTGTAAAGACCCGTCACTATCACCTGTACAGGGACCTGTAAAACCCGTCACTATCACCTGTACAGGGACCTGTGAAGACCCGTCACTATCACCTGTACAGGGACCTGTGAAGACCCGTCGCTATCACCTGTACAGGGACCTGTGAAGACCCGTCGCTATCACCTGTACAGGGACCTGTAAAGACCCGTCGCTATCACCTGTACAGGGACCTGTGAAGACCCGTCACTATCACCTGTACAGGGACCTGTGAAGACCCGTCACTATCACCTGTACAGGGACCTGTGAAGACCCGTCACTATCACCTGTACAGGGACCTGTAAAGACCCGTCACTATCACCTGTACAGGGACCTGTAAAGACCCGTCACTATCACCTGTACAGGGACCTGTGAAGACCCGTCACTATCACCTGTACAGGGACCTGTGAAGACCCGTCGCTATCACCTGTCCAGGGACCTGTGAAGACCCGTCGCTATCACCTGTACAGGGACCTGTAAAGACCCGTCGCTATCACCTGTACAGGGACTTGCTGACGTATTCCATGACGTGTGATATTGTATTCTACTAGAACAAGATAACTTTAAATGTATTAATTGTTTCTACACCACACGTGGTATCAACTGTAAATAATTTTCGTTGACACGGTAAGCTTGGATCAGAAGAACTTTTCATGCACTCGCGCAAATCAAAACATACAATAATTGAAAAAGTTCGCAATTGTTTTTTTTGTGTAATATTTTGATTTTCGATTTCTATCGATTCATTACTTTGAATGTAAAAAAAAACCCCAACCATTTACTTTGTAGTCATGAGAGCTCTTTCATTGTGAAAGAAAAGGTCGTACAAATTTGATTTACCATACAACAGAAAAAAGGTATCTGACGACGCGTATGTACACAGAACAGCTGAGGTCACGTGACGTCTCAACAACAGATTCGATCGTCAAGTCACCTGACATCAGGTACATCAATTGAATTAAATGGGGAATTGAAAGTAAAAACGATTTTTAGCAAGGAAGTATACATGGATGGAGTCGACCATTAAGCTGGAGTCAATCGCCAATCAACATCTTAATTCACGTGACCGCACGTGCATAGATTTAGTCGTTAGTCAACTGTTCAGTTCATGTGACTACTTGTATAAAGATTCGCCATTCATTAACTTTGGTCACGTGAAGTGTGGTTACGAGAATAGATTGCATGTGACTATAAGTTCTTGTGTGTAATTATCATTGTTTTTTTTATTGGTTTTACTAATTTATAGTATTTTTGTGCCTTGATACGTCACTTCCTGTCTAATGTGGTAATAAACTTTCATATCAAATGTATGTGCACGGTGACAATCGATGCGAATTCAGTTTGTGAAGCTAACTTCGATCTCTTACGTGCCGTAACGCCTTTACGTCATTATCTTGTTAACACATCCGAGATATGTATGCACGTGTTAACTCGTCCACGGAAGTAATATAAGTAACATTTTCCCCGCTACACGCGCATTGTTGTTTATCCTACATACGCGTAAACCGTCAACTATAAATAGATCGTAGGCAAAGCACCTATCAATGCACGTGAACTACACGTACATTCCTTTCTTCAATGGAGAGGTTTACTCCTAATGCACGTCCCTGCGTTTGTTTGTTGTGGGTACATCCGATGTAAACTAGAGGGCGGTAAGTTCACATCCCCTACATCAAACTTAATCTACTCAGTTCAAACGTGTGCTTATTATTTGATTGGAGGAGCGTTTTTTCCTCTCCAAATATATTTTGGCACGAGGAGATCTTAAGATTGGATATAAAATTGATTTCAATGATTTTGAAAGACAAATGTTTTTACGCCCCCCACTCTCTCCCTAGATTGCTTGTTGGAACTGGAAAATGCAAATAGCCAACAAAGACAATATCCATTTAAATAGACTTTATAAACCACTAATATACATAAAATTATTATTCAAAATGATTGTGACATTAATGGTAATGACGTTATGACGTCATAATGGAGTCTATGAATAGAGAGCCAAAATTGACCTCAGGAACTAAGCGGGAAAATGTGTTATCTACAATTTCTATAAAACAACTCTAATTATGAGATTAAAAGGTTATCAAAAACCGTTTAATTTGTGTTCGACTGATGGATATCGTCATGTCTTGCTGTATTTCACTGAAATGATTTTTATACTTACCTTATGAGCCAAATACCCATCGGCAGAGCCTAAATATTTTAGAGGGGGTAAGGGGTGCTGGGGCATCCTAATGAAATGGGCCAATTGCCCTTCTATACAAATAAAATAATGACAACATTTTCATTTTTTCAATCAAATGAAAATTTACCCTAACGATCAGTTAGGTCGTATTCTGTTTCCATAACATATATTATAATTTGTTCGAACGGACGTTTCATCATCTGTGACCCATTTTGTCGAGTCGTTAGCTCTAACTGCTTCATTAGTGAGAATGCGAGCTATTTTCACGGATAAGAGTTCTGTAGTGCCGGTATGGCAAGTGTAAGCTCGCCCTAATAATTAGACAGAGATGGTTGGGCCTCGTCATTGTAGTTTATGTACAGGGCAGTAACCGTCATAAGTCATCGTTATAGAGAGATGGATAGTCGATGTGTGTACATGATCTGAGGAAAAAAACTCTGACATTTAATGTGTTATGTGACGGTGATAGGATTTGTGAATATATTACTACATATCATATATACGACTCATCTATAGTATACAGGCCGGACTTCGTCAGTGGTCAAACGGTGGTCAGTTGGTACATAGGTAAGTAGGTACACGCGTGTGTGTAGTTTTGGTGATGGTGGAAATATTTCCTCATTATTTGATATAGAATACAGTATACATATTAAGGAGTTTTGACGGGTTATTCTGAACAATTGTATCGTGTATATATGTTGTAATATGTATACGTTTTAATATAGACCTGTTTACTAATCACGAGTTAAAACCTACGTGGAACGATTTTTCTTTGTACCATCACCAGGCTTCTCCATCGTTTAATCTCCGTGATTTTTTTATATATTAACTAGACACTGAAGTACCTAGAAGGAAATCTCTATGAAATGTGTATATTTTAAAACATCAAAGAACGTACACGTATGTTCTTTTGACCATTAAACTTAATGAAACTAAAGTGACTATATGTTTGACATTGAGGAAATACCTTACATATTTAAGTATTTGTTTTTTACAGACTGCAAAAGTAATCAATCTTTCATTTGGGGCAATATTCTGTATAAGAGATAACTCCATGAGAAGAAATAGAAGAATTTGCACTCGGGCATAGTTTCTGCAGATTCCAGACACTATACCCGTGAAGTGATGGAAACTTAAGAATCTTACCCTTATAAATGAGAATCACCAAATTCATCTCAAATGAGTGAAGGTTTTTGTTTTTATTCTGTTGGTATCATCATGCCACTTTATAAATATAACTGCGATTCAGCATCAATGTTACATTGTTGACGTCACATTTATGATGCGATCGCTGACGTGACGTCATTGTATTGTTGACGTCATTATAATTAATGACTTTAGAATCGCTTTTTTTGGTATTTTTCCATAAATTTATTCCATAAAAATGCAGAAACACTTGCATGTGGTTCTCGAAGGGTTGGGTATACACTTAAAACTGGTAACATTCTCCACTTCATACAATCAACAACGATACGGACAGAAATGACCCGTATCGGATCGTGTGGAGGTATATCATGACACAGGGTAATTTCCGTCCGTTTCGTTTCTCTAGATGTATCACATGATGTCTGATATATTGTACACATAAACTAGGTACAATGTCATCCAATAACCTTGCAACCTTACGAACTGAACATTTTAGAATTAAGATCATGTACTACCTTACCAATTATACCTGCGATTTTTGCAAGAGTTAAGGTTATATGCTTCCTTACCTGTTATTCCTGTGTTTTATTTAAGGTTATATGCTACCTTACATATCACACCTGTTTTAGAGATAAGGTTACATACTACCTTACACATTATACCTGCGTTAGAGTTAAGGTTATATGCTACCTTACATATCACACCTGTTTTAGAGATAAGGTTACATACTACCTTACACATTATACCTGCGTTAGAGTTAAGGTTATATGCTACCTTACATATCACACCTGTTTTAGAGATAAGGTTACATACTACCTTACACATTATACCTGCGTTAGAGTTAAGGTTATATGCTACCTTACATATCACACCTGTTTTAGAGATAAGGTTACATACTACCTTACACATTATACCTGCGTTAGAGTTAAGGTTATATGCTACCTTACATATCACACCTGTTTTAGAGATAAGGTTACATACTACCTTACACATTATACCTGCGTTAGAGTTAAGGTTATATGCTATCGTACATATCACACCTGTGTTTTAGTTAAGGTTGTATGCTACCTTACAGATTATACCTGAGTGTGATGTGTCTAAGAGTTAAGGTTAGTTGCTGCTTTGCGCATTATCCTTGTTATTTGTGATGGAATGGATTCAGGGGAAATTTGCAATCATTTTTGTATTAAGAGCCTTAGAACTGATTACAACATGTAATAAAGTTAGGTGTTGTTACATGTGTAGTAATAGCACAATCTGTGTATTGGTGCTGTTACTGTGATAACAGGGTCACAACACGTAAACTTTTAGGCTGCAATTCTTTGTATTTGCGTGTTGATTAACCTCATAATGTTTGATTTTTTACTTTCGCACTTGCGCCTTTAACCTTTTGACATTAAAGAGGTAGCGCTTACGCCCCTACCTTCTGTTCTCGATCAATCTAAAGAGTGCTGTAGGGTTGCAAAGGTTGATAACGCAAACAGTTAAAGGGATTGGACTCTTGGCACACTATTGTATTCCTGTCGGCGCTGCCTCTGTAGCACAGACATCTTTTAATACTTTCGTACTTACGTATACTGCAGAATATAAAGCATACAATTAACAAATCCTTGGTACAATTCTTAACTTCTGAACTGGGACTATGAGTTACACTGATTGAACTCACGTGCACCTGATGTCTATAGATATATAACTACGTTCGTTATTGTACACAGACTACTTTCCCAAGAACACAGGGACATGCTAATCGGTTTCATATAGACACCAGAGAAACAACATAAAACAAGTCAATCAAGTAGTTACATTTACCTCAATGTAAATAAGCCAAGATGCACGTGCAGAAAACACAATAAGAAACTTTACATTTACATTTGATAACCAAAGATTTGATAAAACATTAAGAAAAAAAATTACCTTATACATATCGTTAAAACGGGGGCGACTTAATTTAACTGCCATATTGTACCGGAAGCAATAGATTGCACCATTTGGGCGTCATTGACAACGCCATGACAACAAAATCGTTCCAAAGGCATATTCTAAGTATCATGTCACATTACGTTTTTAAACAACGCTTATGTAAATTTAGGGATGCTAGCATTAACAACCGATAAAAGTATAAAGACGATATACTCTTACCTTATGACTATGCCTGAATTTTGTTACATACACAAATTGTGGTCGGTAAGCTTCATCTAACGCAAGTGTAAATAATATGTGATACTGTGGTGATAGGACACTCTGGCTGGGTGTTTTCATACAGGTGTTATAGGATGGTGATAGGACACTAAGGCTAGGTGTTTTCATACAGGTGGTAAATGTGTGATACTGTGGTGATAGGACACTCAGGCTAGGTGTTTTCATACAGGTGTTATAGGATGGTGATAGTACACTAAGGCTAGATATTTCCATACAGGTGGTAAATGTGTGATACTGTGGTGATAGGACACTAAGGCTGGGTGTTTACATACAGGTGGTAAATGTGTGATACTGTGGTGATAGGGCACTCAGGCTAGTTGTTTTCATACAGGTGGTAAATGTGTGATACTGTGGTGATAGGACACTCAGGCTGGGTGTTTACATACAGGTGGTAAATGTGTGATACTGTGGTGATAGGACACTCAGGCTAGGTGTTTTCATACAGGTGGTAAATGTGTGATACTGTGGTGATAGGACACTCAGGCTAGGTGTTTACATACAGGTGGTAAATGTGTGATACTGTGGTGATAGGACACTCAGGCTAGGTGTTTTCATACAGGTGGTAAATGTGTGATACTGCTGTGATAGGACACTCAGGCTAGGTGTTTACATACAGGTGTTATAGGATGGTGATAGGACACTAAGGCTAGGTGTTTTCATACAGGTGGTAAATGTGTGATACTGCTGTGATAGGACACTCAGGCTAGGTGTTTTCATACAGGTGTTATAGGATGGTGATAGGACACTAAGGCTAGGTGTTTTCATACAGGTGGTAAATGTGTGATACTGTGGTGATAGGACACTAAGGCTAGGTGTTTTCATACAGGTGGTAAATGTGTGATACTGCTGTGATAGGACACTCAGGCTAGGTGTTTTCATACAGGTGTTATAGGATGGTGATAGGACACTAAGGCTAGGTGTTTTCATACAGGTGGTAAATGTGTGATACTGCTGTGATAGGACACTCAGGCTAGGTGTTTTCATACAGGTGTTATAGGATGGTGATAGGACACTAAGGCTAGGTGTTTTCATACAGGTGGTAAATGTGTGATACTGTGGTGATAGGACACTCAGGCTAGGTGTTTTCATACAGGTGGTAAATGTGTGATACTGTGGTGATAGGACACTCAGGCTAGGTGTTTTCATACAGGTGGTAAATGTGTGATACTGTGGTGATAGGACACTCAGGCTAGGTGTTTTCATACAGGTGGTAAATGTGTGATACTGTGGTGATAGGACACTCAGGCTAGGTGTTTTCATACAGGTGTTATAGGATGGTGATAGGACACTAAGGCTAGGTGTTTTCATACAGGTGGTAAATGTGTGATACTGTGGTGATAGGACACTCAGGCTAGGTGTTTTCATACAGGTGTTATAGGATGGTGATAGTACACTAAGGCTAGATATTTCCATACAGGTGGTAAATGTGTGATACTGTGGTGATAGGACACTAAGGCTGGGTGTTTACATACAGGTGGTAAATGTGTGATACTGTGGTGATAGGACACTAAGGCTGGGTGTTTACATACAGGTGGTAAATGTGTGATACTGTGGTGATAGGACACTCAGGCTAGTTGTTTTCATACAGGTGGTAAATGTGTGATACTGCTGTGATAGGACACTCAGGCTAGGTGTTTACATACAGGTGGTAAATGTGTGAAACTGTGGTGAAAGGACACTGAGGCTAGGTGTTTACATACATGTGGTAAATGTGTGATACTGTGGTGATAGGACACTCAGGCTGGGTGTTTACATACAGGTGGTAAATGTGTGGTACTGTGGTGATAGGACACTCAGGCTAGGTGTTTACATACAGGTGGTAAATGTGTGATACTGTGGTGATAGGACACTCAGGCTAGTTGTTTTCATACAGGTGGTAAATGTGTGATACTGTGGTGATAGGACACTCAGGCTAGGTGTTTTCATACAGGTGGTAAATGTGTGATACTGTGGTGATAGGACACTCAGGCTAGATATTTCCATACAGGTGGTAAATGTGTGATACTGTGGTGATAGGACACTCAGGCTAGGTGTTTACATACAGGTGGTAAATGTGTGATACTGTGGTGATAGGGCACTCAGGCTAGTTGTTTTCATACAGGTGGTAAATGTGTGATACTGCTGTGATAGGACACTCAGGCTAGGTGTTTTCATACAGGTGGTAAATGTGTGATACTGTGATGATAGGGCACTCAGGCTAGGTGTTTTCATACAGGTGGTAAATGTGTGATACTGTGGTGATAGGACACTAAGGCTGGGTGTTTACATACAGGTGGTAAATGTGTGATACTGTGGTGATAGGGCACTCAGGCTAGTTGTTTTCATACAGGTGGTAAATGTGTGATACTGCTGTGATAGGACACTCAGGCTAGGTGTTTTCATACAGGTGGTAAATGTGTGATACTGTGGTGATAGGGCACTCAGGCTAGTTGTTTTCATACAGGTGGTAAATGTGTGATACTGCTGTGATAGGACACTCAGGCTAGGTGTTTTCATACAGGTGGTAAATGTGTGATACTGTGGTGATAGGACACTCAGGCTAGGTGTTTTCATACAGGTGTTATAGGATGGTGATAGGACACTCAGGCTAGGTGTTTTCATACAGGTGGTAAATGTGTGATACTGTGGTGATAGGACACTAAGGCTAGGTGTTTTCATACAGGTGGTAAATGTGTGATACTGCTGTGATAGGACACTCAGGCTAGGTGTTTTCATACAGGTGGTAAATGTGTGATACTGTGATGATAGGGCACTCAGGCTAGGTGTTTTCATACAGGTGGTAAATGTGTGATACTGTGGTGATAGGACACTAAGGCTGGGTGTTTACATACAGGTGGTAAATGTGTGATACTGTGGTGATAGGGCACTCAGGCTAGTTGTTTTCATACAGGTGGTAAATGTGTGATACTGCTGTGATAGGACACTCAGGCTAGGTGTTTTCATACAGGTGGTAAATGTGTGATACTGTGATGATAGGGCACTCAGGCTAGGTGTTTACATACAGGTGTTATAGGATGGTGATAGGACACTAAGGCTAGGTGTTTTCATACAGGTGGTAAATGTGTGATACTGTGGTGATAGGACACTAAGGCTAGGTGTTTTCATACAGGTGGTAAATGTGTGATACTGTGGTGATAGGACACTCAGGCTAGGTGTTTTCATACAGGTGTTATAGGATGGTGATAGGACACTAAGGCTAGGTGTTTTCATACAGGTGGTAAATGTGTGATACTGTGGTGATAGGACACTCAGGCTAGGTGTTTTCATACAGGTGTTATAGGATGGTGATAGGACACTAAGGCTAGGTGTTTTCATACAGGTGGTAAATGTGTGATACTGTGGTGATAGGACACTCAGGCTAGGTGTTTTCATACAGGTGGTAAATGTGTGATACTGTGGTGATAGGACACTCAGGCTAGGTGTTTTCATACAGGTGGTAAATGTGTGATACTGTGGTGATAGGACACTCAGGCTAGGTGTTTTCATTCAGGTGGTATATGTGTGATACTGTGGTGATAGGACACTCAGGCTAGGTGTTTTCATACAGGTGGTAAATGTGTGATACTGTGGTGATAGGACACTCAGGCTAGGTGTTTTCATACAGGTGGTAAATGTGTGATACTGTGGTGATAGGACACTCAGGCTAGGTGTTTTCATACAGGTGGTAAATGTGTGATACTGTGGTGATAGGACACTCAGGCTAGGTGTTTTCATACAGGTGTTATAGGATGGTGATAGGACACTAAGGCTAGGTGTTTTCATACAGGTGGTAAATGTGTGATACTGTGGTGATAGGACACTCAGGCTAGGTGTTTTCATACAGGTGTTATAGGATGGTGATAGTACACTAAGGCTAGATATTTCCATACAGGTGGTAAATGTGTGATACTGTGGTGATAGGACACTAAGGCTGGGTGTTTACATACAGGTGGTAAATGTGTGATACTGTGGTGATAGGGCACTCAGGCTAGTTGTTTTCATACAGGTGGTAAATGTGTGATACTGCTGTGATAGGACACTCAGGCTAGGTGTTTTCATACAGGTGGTAAATGTGTGATACTGTGATGATAGGGCACTCAGGCTAGGTGTTTTCATACAGGTGGTAAATGTGTGATACTGTGGTGATAGGACACTAAGGCTGGGTGTTTACATACAGGTGGTAAATGTGTGATACTGTGGTGATAGGGCACTCAGGCTAGTTGTTTTCATACAGGTGGTAAATGTGTGATACTGCTGTGATAGGACACTCAGGCTAGGTGTTTTCATACAGGTGGTAAATGTGTGATACTGTGGTGATAGGGCACTCAGGCTAGATATTTCCATACAGGTGGTAAATGTGTGATACTGTGGTGATAGGACACTAAGGCTGGGTGTTTACATACAGGTGGTAAATGTGTGATACTGTGGTGATAGGGCACTCAGGCTAGTTGTTTTCATACAGGTGGTAAATGTGTGATACTGCTGTGATAGGACACTCAGGCTAGGTGTTTTCATACAGGTGGTAAATGTGTGATACTGTGATGATAGGGCACTCAGGCTAGGTGTTTTCATACAGGTGGTAAATGTGTGATACTGTGGTGATAGGACACTAAGGCTGGGTGTTTACATACAGGTGGTAAATGTGTGATACTGTGGTGATAGGGCACTCAGGCTAGTTGTTTTCATACAGGTGGTAAATGTGTGATACTGCTGTGATAGGACACTCAGGCTAGGTGTTTTCATACAGGTGGTAAATGTGTGATACTGTGGTGATAGGGCACTCAGGCTAGTTGTTTTCATACAGGTGGTAAATGTGTGATACTGCTGTGATAGGACACTCAGGCTAGGTGTTTTCATACAGGTGGTAAATGTGTGATACTGTGGTGATAGGACACTCAGGCTAGGTGTTTTCATACAGGTGTTATAGGATGGTGATAGGACACTCAGGCTAGGTGTTTTCATACAGGTGGTAAATGTGTGATACTGTGGTGATAGGACACTAAGGCTAGGTGTTTTCATACAGGTGGTAAATGTGTGATACTGCTGTGATAGGACACTCAGGCTAGGTGTTTTCATACAGGTGGTAAATGTGTGATACTGTGATGATAGGGCACTCAGGCTAGGTGTTTTCATACAGGTGGTAAATGTGTGATACTGTGGTGATAGGACACTAAGGCTGGGTGTTTACATACAGGTGGTAAATGTGTGATACTGTGGTGATAGGGCACTCAGGCTAGTTGTTTTCATACAGGTGGTAAATGTGTGATACTGCTGTGATAGGACACTCAGGCTAGGTGTTTTCATACAGGTGGTAAATGTGTGATACTGTGATGATAGGGCACTCAGGCTAGGTGTTTACATACAGGTGGTAAATGTGTGATACTGTGATGATAGGACACTAAGGCTAGGTGTTTCCATACAGGTGGTAAATGTGTGAAACTGTGGTGAAAGGACACTGAGGCTAGGTGTTTACATACATGTGGTAAATGTGTGATACTGTGGTGATAGGACACTCAGGCTGGGTGTTTACATACAGGTGGTAAATGTGTGGTACTGTGGTGATAGGACACTCAGGCTAGGTGTTTACATACAGGTGGTAAATGTGTGATACTGTGGTGATAGGACACTCAGGCTAGGTGTTTACATACAGGTGCTTTACCTGTAGAATAAGGCGATATACGTATATTTTGTGTTACCAATAAATATCCATCTTTAATTCCTTCTGATTTCAGTATTGCAGATCGTGTTCTTCTGGTGGTTATATTTGACAAATGGGTGGAGTAGGGGAATCCCCGAAGGGACTGGTGGCGCTGCTGATGATAGCGGTGGGATTCGTACTCAACACCGTTGGATTCGCCGCCCCATACTGGGTGACGGCGGCAGGTGGTTCGCGCTTCGGCTTGTGGATGTACTGTGATTTCCTTGACAACTGTCACCAGTGGGATTCGGACGGTATCAGTACGTTAATTTTCTTATTTTTACTTTATTCTTGCTTTCTTCATATGGCATTGTGTGACTTACTTTTTCCTTCGTTCCTCAGAGTTTGTGGCTTCGGTTGCGTTCCTTCCTTCATTCCTTCCTTCCTCCCTCCTTCCTTCCTTCCTTCCTTCCTTCCTCCCTCCTTCCTTCCTTCCTTCCTTCCTTCCTCCCTCCTTCCTACATTCCTTCCTTCCTCCCTCCCTCCATTCTTCCTTCCTTCCTCGTACTAAGATGAATATTGTATCTTTTTCTTTTTTACTTCACACAGAGCTTGTTTTCCAAGTAGCTTTGTTTACTATACATTCTCCTTCCTTCCTTCCTCCCTCTTCCTTCCTTTCTCCCTTCCCTCCCTCCCTCCAGTTTCGATTTTAAAAAAGTTAGGGAATGGGAGGGGAAAGGGGGGGAGGGAGAGGGAAGGGGCGAGATGAATCCACGAAGTTCAGGTGTCCATTACAACGCCAAATTCAAGACACGAACATTAATTCTATCGTCCTTGTGAACTGGATTGGTGATAAAAGAACTAGTTACACAGCGTGTTGCTTGTTGATCAAAGGGACATAACTCGAGGATAAATTTCATGGACGTTAATTGTACAAAATCCCTCTTGGTGCGAGAACAAACAAACGCACGAAGGGCCACCACTGGGATCTCATGTATTTGATGCTTTTTGCCTCTGACAACAATATTTGTGTGTGAGATAATTAAATTGCTCGCCTTCCAGTAGGAATATGTACACATTTTTTTTCGATACACGAGGTTTTCCTACTTCTGTTTTGTAATCCGAATTCGTTAGTTCCCGAGTATGGTTTGTGTACGCGGGATACATCAATACTCACATCTGTACTTATGAAAGCTAGATACAGCGGTCTCCAGATGTCTTAGTTGTTGCGAGCACGTAACTTTCAATACAAACAAATAATTAGTAGTAAATGGTATTATCATAATCTGTTCGTATCTATGGAGACCGTACCTAATTCGCCCCTTTCCTTCTTTGTAACACTTTTCATCACTTCTCCCTTCACACAATATGAAGGCACAGATGAATCAACGCGTTCATTTATAAGCAGAAATACATAAAAATTAAAATAAAATACTAAAACATTTAATTCAGAACCCCTCACCCCTCCCTTCAAAAAACAAAAACAAACACAAATGAATTGAAAAAAGTTAATACTTGATTTTTTTTTACAGCTTTTGCAAAGTTTGACCAGATCAGAGCTTTTGAAGGACTTGGATTCGTTGGAACCCTGGTGGTGCTATTTTGCACCGTGCTGTACATGTGCGTGCCAAAAGTTTCAGGAAACAAAATACTTGGAATTCTTGACGTATTGGTTTGTTTTGCATCAGGTGAGAATTTTGAATGAATATGTAGGACCAAATGACATATGACAGTCAATCGTAGCTTCTCGGGAAACTTTCCAGTTACCTTCGGAAACAGAAGATTGCCGGAAATTTCCGAAAGATATTGCGATTATTCGAGTTGTTTTAAGCAATGAAATCTTACTATTATCTTTCTATCATCATAATGGTCGTTTCTGAAATAATCACGTTTCGTTTGGATTTTGTTTACATGTAAAATCAAATATATGTTCTTCATTTTAATATTTCGTTTCTGACAATTTTTCAGCTGGTGCCATCATAATTGGTGTTATTATCTTTGGATCGGAACACAGCAATCTGGGCTGGGCCTTCGGACTTTCTACAGCTGGAGGCGTTTTGTTTGCTTTGGCCGGAGTTCTGATTATTCTTGCAATGTGTCGAAAATAAGAACTTGTTCACGTATTCTTCTATAAATCATTGGACATTATATATGATAATCGTACCATTGGGTACACATATCCCAAGATGGCGTTAACCTCAAACGCTTAGTATGTTTACACGCCTAGTTTTACATCAAAAAGCGTTTTAATATAATCTTTTGTAAGGTATTGTCTGGTTAACGATGTTTGGAATGTAATTAACACAGAAATGACAACTATAACACGTATTCACATTGAAATTTTCAATACGACGGGAACACGGTGTCAGCACGTGATATTATGTAAATTATGTAGCAAACAATACATTTATATATAGTCATCTAGCTAATGCCTTACAAAAGCACATTCAAACACTGTTTTGATGCAAAACTAAACGTGCAAACAATCAAGTTTGTCGCCATTTTGCCATGTGGTACGATTATCACATTACTACAGTGATACAGGTTCTCCGAAGTAAAACTCTAAGAGGAAGTAGAATCTCCAGCGAGTAGGATGCGTCCTCGGAGAGTGTTACAGGAAATAGCACCTTAGAGAGTATGCTAATTGGATGACGACACGAAGAATATCATGTGTTTAGTATTTTATCTGATAAATCTGATCGTCAGTATGTGCTTTCACATCACCGTAATACAATCATTGACTGCGAATCTGGCGAAAATCAACTGATGCTAATTAAAACCATTTTTTAAATCTAAATTCATTTGATGATGTGTAATTTTTCATTCCAAATTTTAAACGTGTGATGCCATTTTCACTTCTCTAACAGTACAAGAAGCGTATTCATATCTTAAATATGTTGTACAGAATGTCTGATTAAATAGATATCGATGGATTGATTTTATGTAATTTCTCATCAAAATACGTATCGTAATGCGAATGTCTACCCAAGATACTATTCTAATGCGAATATCTACCCAAAATACTATTCTAATGCGAATGTCTACCCAAGCTACGTATCGTAATGCGAATGTCTACCCAAGATACTATTCTAATGCGAATGTCTACCCAAGCTACGTATCGTAATGCGAATGTCTACCCAAGATACTATTCTAATGCGAATGTCTACCCAAAAAACTATTCTAATGCGAATGTCTACCCAAAATACTATTCTAATGCGAATATCAACCCAGGATACGTATCGTAATGCGAATGTCTACCCAAGATACTATTCTAATGCGAATGTCTACCCAAGCTACGTATCGTAATGCGAATGTCTACCCAAGATACTATTCTAATGCGAATGTCTACCCAAGATACTATTCTAATGCGAATATCTACTCAAGATACGTATTCTAATGCGAATTTCTAATCAAGATATGTAACTTAAGTGTTTATTCAAGATAAGAATAGTATAGTGAGTTTTGTTAAAGATACATCTGATGTGTTTATCGTTTAAATCAAATTAACGAATGTTTGAAAATACGTATTATTTTGTGTGTGTTTTAATCAAGTTACATTTCAAAAAAATATATTGACCAGTTCATCTAAGAAGGTGGTATACCTAAGTACTGAGATATGGATTATCAGTGCATTGTACCTCATTAAAATAATCTTTGCCATCATTTTGGCTAGGTTTTTAAAACTGTATAAGTGAAGAAATTTGAAAATGATAATAAAAGATGAAGAAAATTGTTTTCCGGTATTGTGTGATATTTTAGGCAAAAACATCTTCTATAACGCTTGAAAATTTTATTTTATAATAATGATCAATATCTAATGAGAAAAAATATTGGATTTTGAAAAAAATGGTTAGAAAAAATGCTTCTTTCATCAGGTATGAAAATACAATGTACATTTGTTTGGTTTGTTTACATGTTTGTTTATCAAAGTTTAAAAAAAACTTATAGATAACTGGATGTGTTTCTTTTTTGTTACGTTTAAATCGGAGAACTGCCAACCCAATATTATTGGGATTCGGAATCAAGGAAAAGCTATGCTCAGCCGATTAAATATTGTCAATTTGTCACCTGAACTTTGTGAGTTTGTTTGTGGTACACATAACTGGTCAGTTGCAGAATATATCATTACAGAAATGAGCTAAAGAGGACACACTGCGCTGTATATATGACAAACTGTGCTGCATATATGACACACTGTAAAATATATGACACACTGTATATATGACACTGAACTGTATATATAACACACTGTACTGTATATATGACCTATGACACACTGTATATATGACACACTGTACTGTATAAATGACACACTGTATATATGACACTGAACTGTATATATAACACACTGTACTGTATATATAACACACTGTACTGTATATATGACACACTGTATTGTATATATAACACACTGTACTGTATATTTAACACACTGTATCGTATATATGACACTGAACTGTATATATAACACACTGTATCGTATATATGACACACTGTACTGTATATATGACACACTGTATACATGACACACTGTACTGTATAAATGACACACTGTATATATGACACTGAACTGTATATATAACACACTGTACTGTATATATGACACACTGTACCGTATATATGACACACTGTACTGTATATATGACACACTGTACTGTATATTTAACACACTGTATCGTATATATGACACTCCGTATACATGAAACACTGTACTGTGTATATGACACACTATACCGTATATATGACACACTGTAGTGTATATATAACACACTGTACCGTATATATGACACACTGTATATATGACACACTGTACTGTATATATGACACACTGTACCGTATATATGACACACTGTATATATGACACACTGTACTGTATATATGACACACTTTACCGTATATATGACACACTGTGCCGTATATATGACACACTTTACCGTATATATGACACACTTTACCGTATATATGACACACTGTACCGTATATATGACACACTGTACTGTATATATGACACACTGTACCGTATATATAACACACTGTTCCGTATATATGACACACTTTACCGTATATATGACACACTTTACCGTATATATGACACACTGTACTGTTTATATGACACACTGTACTGTATATATAACACACTGTGCCGTATATATGACACACTTTACCGTATATATGACACACTGTACCGTATATATGACACACTGTACTGTATATATAACACACTTTGACGTATATATGACACACTGTATACATGAAACACTGTACCGTATATATGACACACTGTACTGTATATATGACACACTGTACTGTATATATGACACACTGTATATATGACACACTGTACTGGATATATGACACACTGTACTGTATATATGACACACTGTGCCGTATATATGACACACGGTACCGTATATATGACACACTGCACTGTATATATGACACACTGTACTGTATATATGACACACTGTACCGTATATATAACACACTGTTCCGTATATATGACACACTTTACCGTATATATGACACACTTTACCGTATATATGACACACTTTACCGTATATATGACACACTGTGCCGTATATATGACACACTTTACCGTATATATGACACACTGTACCGTATATATGACACACTGTACTGTATATATGACACACTGTACCGTATATATAACACACTGTTCCGTATATATGACACACTTTACCGTATATATGACACACTTTACCGTATATATGACACACTTTACCGTATATATGACACACTTTACCGTATATATGACACACTGTACTGTTTATATGACACACTGTACTGTATATATAACACACTGTGCCGTATATATGACACACTTTACCGTATATATGACACACTGTACCGTATATATGACACACTGTACTGTATATATAACACACTGTGACGTATATATGACACACTGTATACATGAAACACTGTACCGTATATATGACACACTGTACTGTATATATAACACACTGTACCGTATATATGACACTCTGTATATATGACACACTGTACTGTATATATGACACACTGTACCGTATATATGACACACTGTACTGTATATATGACACACTGTACTGTATATATAACACACTGCACTGTATATATGACACACTGTACTGTATATATGACACACTGTATACATGACACGCTGTACTGTATATATGACACACTGTACCGTATATATGACACACTGTACTGTATATATAACACACTGTGCCGTATATATGACACACTGTATACATGAAACACTGTACCGTATATATGACACACTGTACTGTATATATAACACACTGTACAGTATATATGACACACTGTACTGTATATATGACACACTGTATATATGACAGTATATATGACACACTGTACCGTATATATGACACACTGTATATATGACACACTGTATATATGACACACTGTACTGTATATATGACACACTGTACTGTATATATGACACACTGTACTGTATATATGACACACTGTACCGTATATATGACACACTGTATATATGACACACTGTACTGTATACATGACACACTGTACTGTACTGTATATATGACACACTGTACTGTATATATGACACACTGTACTGTATATATGACACACTGTACTGTATATATGACACACTGTACTGTATATATGACACACTGTACTGTATACATGACACACTGTACTGTATATATGACACACTGCACTGTATATATGACACACTGTACTGTATATATGACACACTGTACTGTATATATGACACACTGTACTGTATATATGACACACTGTACTGGATATATGACACACTGTACTGTATATATGACACACTGTATACATGACACACTGTACCGTATATATGACACACTGTACTGTATACATGACACACTGTACTGTATATATGACACACTGCACTGTATATATGACACACTGTACTGTATATATGACACACTGTACCGTATATATGACACACTGTATATATGACACACTGTACCGTACATATGACACACTGTACTGTATATATGACACACTGTACTGTATATATGACACACTGTACTGTATATATGACACACTGTACCGTATATATGACACACTGTATATATGACACACTGTACTGTATACATGACACACTGTACTGTATATATGACACACTGTACTGTATATATGACACACTGTACTGTATATATGACACACTCTACTGTATACATGACACACTGTACTGTATATATGACACAATGCACTGTATATATGACACACTGTACTGTATATATGACACACTGTACTGTATATATGACACACTGCACTGTATATATGACACACTGTACTGTATATATGACACACTGCACTGTATATATGACACTCTGTATATATGACACACTGTACTGTATATATGACACACTGTACTGTATATATGACACACTGACTTGTATATATAACACACTGTACCGTATATATGACACTCTGTATATATGACACACTGTACTGTATACATGACACACTGTACTGTATATATGACACGCTGTACCGTATATATGACACACTGTACTGTATATATGACACACTGTACCGTATATATGACACACTGTACTGTATATATGACACACTGTACCGTATATATGACACACTGTACTGTATATATGACACACTGTACTGTATATATGACACACTGTACCGTATATATGACACACTGTACTGTATATATGACACACTGTACCGTATATATGACACACTGTACTGTATATATGACACACTGTACTGTATATATGACACACTGTACTGTATATATAACACACTGTACCGTATATATGACACACTGTACTGTATATATAACACACTGTACAGTATATATGACACACTGTACTGTATATATGACACACTGTATACCTGACACACTGTACTGTATATATGACACACTGTACCGTATATATGACACACTGTACCGTATATATGACACACTGTACTGTATATATGACACACTGTACCGTATATATGACACACTGTACTGTATATATGACACACTGTTCTGTTTATATGACACACTGTACTGTATATATGACACACTGTACTGTATATATGACACACTGTACTGTATATATGACACACTGTACTGTATATATGACACACTGTACTGTATATATGACACACTGCACTGTATATATGACACACTGTACTGTATACATGAGACACACTTTCTTGTTGTAACTGGCAAATCGTTTTTACAATCAAAGGCTGATGTGACTTCATAATACACGGAATTCTTTCTAAAACAATAATTTATTGTCGCAAATAACTTTGGTTTCCAATTACGTTACAATGATGAACATTATGGACAGTATACACATGCCGGCGTTTGAACTAATATTGATCATTACAAATCGTCACTCGCACATAGTTCTTCAAATACCTTACCATTATGTGTTTATAGAGATTACTGTTTACTTGAAATGTTCAAATAAATTGATTGGAGTTAATTTCCTTTGCTTGTCGTCATACGTTCTTGTAATAAATAATTGCAACAGATACTAGCAAGAAAATAAATGGTTATCCGTACCAGCAAACCTACAGGAAAATAGATTGTTATCGATACCAGCAAACTAACAAGAAAATAAATTGTTATTAGTACCAGCAAACTAACAAGAAAATAAATGGTTATACGTACCAAGAAACTTATAGGAAAATAAATTGTTATCGATACCAGCAAACTAACAAGAAAATAAATTGTTATTAGTACCAGCAAACTAACAAGAAAATAAATTGTTATCCGTACCAGCAAACTTATAGGAAAATAAATTGTTATCGATACCCGCAAACCTACAGGAAAATAAATTGTTATTAGTACCAGCAAACTAACAAGAAAATAAATTGTTATCGATACCAGCAAACTAACAAGAAAATAAATTGTTATCGATACCAGCAAAGTTATAGGAAAATAATTTTTGCCGAGGTCAGTCAGTCCGTAGGATTATGAATTGTTGTTGGCATCAGCCATTCTACAGGAAAATAAATTGATACCGATGTAGCATGCTATTGTGAAGCAT